TGAATTGGCTTTGTGTCCCTTTGGCAACTTTGAGTTAATTGGATGAGTATAAATTAAGAATATAAATTGGTCACAGATGTTTAAAACTGTCCTTTCTTACACAAGGAGAACTTTCTTTCCGTTTTTTTATGTTGGGGAAGGGAAAACACGAAATATGTGCAAAATTAAACACACAGGAATAGGTCAAATGAACTCCAGTTTTTTGTTGTACACTGAATATATTTTCCAGTAAAGAACAAGAGGGACCATTGAAGTTAATTCAGATTTGAATAAATGTTGATACAAACTTAATTTCTTTCAGACTTTAAATAAAGCTTCATAAATACAAATTTAACATTCCAGATTGTCTAATGCATGGTTGTAGAGTAGTATAGCTTGCAGAATGTACAATTGAGCTAACTGCTCAAGTGGAAATGATTTATACCAGATGCTGTTTTTTCCCCTGTTAGCATTACCGGAATGATAATAGGTGCCATGCGTTTCCTTAATACTTCTAATATTGTCACAAGAAACTGCCTTTACAAGGACATTATTCAAGCCAATTACCCTCTTGAAGAGCTGGGTAGTAATGTTTTTAAGCATCTGGATTTATTTTGCTAGCCCCCCAAAAAAGAAAAAAAAAAGAAAAAAGGTTTACTTGCAAACTGTGCTTCTGCCTTATAGCGTAATTTCTGCATGACAGTAAGGCAAGCTCTGTCTGTTTGTGAGGCTTGAAAGGTCATGGTTGGGTACAAAAGGTCACAAGTAAGTAACTTGGGACACAGGAAAAACTGAGTCTGATCTGATTGACTCCGTGACATGTATTTTTCCCTTCCAGAACTGCACTGGACATCACACTGTGCTAACAAAGGAACGTTTTGCAGTTCTCGGTTCAACTCTTAAGACCCAAAAATAGGCACACAGGCAAACGAAGTGGGACGTACCGCCCTTTCAGAGAAATCATGCGTTTCTTGCTTCTGTGGCGTCAGACAGAGGCTTTATTCTTTCCCTTCTCAGAAGCAGCGTTCCAGTGCTCGGAGACTGGGCTTGTTCTGGTGACTAGAGCAGAGTCGTGGTACATAAACTGTTTGTTGGGCTTGTAACAACATTCAGGGCCAGCTTGCATTCAGTTACGTTTTGAAATCCTATTTTAAACATCTCGATTGCGTGGTTTTACAATTACGTTGACAGACAGAGATTAAGTAAAGAGATTAGTAAATATTAAAGACTGCCCAGAGGTGAATGCGACTTCAGCAGTGTAAAATACTGCTTAGGAACTGGAGACAGGGTGTTACTATTGCTAGCATTTTTTTCCACGTTACTATTCAGACCCTCATCACAGTACTTACGTAATTTATAAATCACTGTAGAGCATATTACATTTGGGGGCTGGCTTTTGTCTCATCTTCAAGAAATTACTTGAATGCTAATTGCTTTTCTGGTTTGTGGCAAAGCTGTGAAATGTTTATACCTTAAGTCCTGTGTTAGAAGAGCCTGCCCGTGGTAGCCAGATATTTAGGTATGTGGCCCTGCCTCAAATACCTTGCTAAACTTTGGGGCAGGCACTAGCTGTCGTGGAATTGTTTCGAGTAGTTATAGAAGGTTTGTTTTTGTTTTTGTTTTTTAGAGAAGCTGTCCAGTTTTATCTCTGAAGTAAACTTCACTATAATGTTTTTAATTGCCACCTAGTTTGACTATTAAGGGAAGTTGCACTCTTCCCCTTTGAAGGATATTCCCGTGTATTTGTGGTGCTCCAAAGGCTGTGGCTTGTATGTGGTAAACCAGGGTTTGTTTATCATCTGCTGGCAGGAGTAGCAAACTGGAAGTCAAACCCTGTATTACGTTTGGGCTGTGGGATGTTAATCTCTGCTTTTTTTTTTTTTTTTTTTTTTTTTTTTTGAAAGATACAGGTGGTCTGGCTGGAGTGGCAAGAGGGGTTAATAAAATGCTCTGGGATCCTTGAGATGCACTCTGACTCTTTGGAAAACTTTTTTGGTTAGTCTATTAGACTAGTCTGTTTCTGAAATAAAATCTTTTCTTTGATAGTATTACTGCAAATCCGGTGGTCTTGCCTATGTTTATTTTTAAAATAACATTCCTTTTGAGGAATTTTATCTAGCCAACATGCGAAATTGGAAGTGAGCCACAATGACTTCCTGTAATTGTTGTGGGTTACAAAGCTGCATTTAAATGAAGTGTTAAGCTCCTTAAAGCATTAACCGATGACAGACTTTAAATCCTAAAAGTAAGGGCGATGGCAACTATTAGTGAGAAGTAACTTCTTGGAAGCTTAAAAATTGCAAACGGTTAAATTCTTGTATTAACAAGACTTCTGTCACCTGGCTAAAAGCAGGGTGTTTAATGTTCTTAAGTCTGGAAATCAGTTTTCCCATTCAGTTTTACATGTACTGCCAAGTGCTCATATCTGCTAAGTACACTTTGGCACAAAATGCTGTTACTGTTTGCCCTCTTAAAAGGTTAAAAAGGACGTGAAATTCTGGCAGGGGCTCTTAATTTTGTAAGAAATGGAAAGCAACGTTTCTACAGGATAAACTTGTAAACTATGCTTAGTTTACAGAGTCTGAGTGCTATCCCTGAAAACACTGCTTTCTCATGCCACCCTGGATGACCATGTTTGTGTATATTACTAATCCAGTTTCCCTATCCAGTACAGTCAGGAGACTTTCTTGACCTGTAGTTCCAGTATGCAGTAAATCCAGTTCCTGGATGCTTGGTGCTGGCTCAGAAACGTGGCCACGTTGTACAAAGCACAAACCCAGTTCAAGGGTTAGGGTCCGGTTTGGATTTGTTCAAACAGTAACAAAGGGGCAACTTTATCTTGGCAGGCTTTCTGCTGGATCAGGTATGGTTTGTTGTTCCTCATCCAGCGTAACACCAGCAGAAGGTGGTGGTCATCCTTGTAGTGGGTGATCTGGTCAGCTTGGCAGGCAGAAGTGTGACTGTACAGCTGTGCCTCATCTGGATCGTGTGTGCTGTCGGATGTTGGCACGCTGGGATGGTCTGAGGCACTAAGAACTGCAGCCTGTCCTCTAAAAGGTGGAGAGGTTCTTAGAGAAGTTAGACTGCGTCCTTCGGAGCCGTCACCCTGGACCGTAGTCAGTAGCTTCATCAGAGGGAAGTTTTAAGTGCTGCTCCTGAAGAAGTGCCAAGCAGCACTGTGATTTAATTTCTCTTTGCACTGAGACAGTTGCAATAGCATGGGACTAACTAATACCAGGATGATTTACTGGGGAAAAACTGGCTGCAGCTTTTTAGATGACGCTTTGGATTTTATGGCTTGTAATGAATCCACATCTCGTTATTGACTTCAGCTTTGTGTGTGAATATGCTGATGAGGCAGATGTCAGAGCTTTACATTAAAGAGTAAGTCAGGTGTTTTGGGGTGAATGAGTGGGTAGGGGTGTGTGTGCAGCTGACATACAGGCTTCTAAATAAAGGCCTGCAGTGGTGTTCCTTGTCACTGCAGCATCGAGGCACAGCTGGAGGAGAAGCCAATTGCTTATTAAACAAAGTGGCTTAGCTTGTTAAGGATTAGTATGAAAGAAGCTGGAGTGAACAGCGAGAGGTATTGTCAAAACTGACTTAAGATTTAGAAATGTCTGAGTATTTTAGCTTTATTCTGGTTCTCTTGTGTCTAATCACACTAACCTCAGGGATTCTCCTCCCTTTGCCCAAGTGTGTTGCTCTTATTTGTAGTTTTTTCACTGGAGGAAGCTTTTAGCATCATTCTAAAACATGATGTTTAAGCATCTGTCAGCTTGTCTAGAACCAGATTCTGTGTGCACGTTATAAATGGTTTATACATGCTGCTCTATCTCAGCCTTGCCTGTTTCAGAGAAGCTCTGTGTAAAAGGGGAGGATTATCACTGATCGCAGATTACGCTATATATAAACTGCTCTGCAGATCTTGGGAAAGGCAGAGAGTGTGGTGTGTGGTGTATATATCCCCCACTAGTCAACATTATATCAACTTGAGAAAAACCATAGCCAGAGGTAGGAAGAAGCAATTGGTTTTAAGTATTTGAAATTAATTGTTATCAAATATATATTCAAAATGCTGATCAAGCTGTAAAATCACTTTTTAAAAAGAAAACCAATGATATCTTTTTAAAACTGCAAGGACATGAAAACTTCAGGCAGTGCTTTTGTGATTGTAGCAGTGAAAGCTAAGGTCATGGATGTCCTGTGCTTACTTTTGTTTTGGTTTGTGTTTCACCCTAGAAAACCAGCAGACCTTCAAAATTTGGCTCCGGGCACTCATCCGCCCTTCATAACCTACAATGGTGAAGTGAAAACAGATGTGAATAAGATTGAAGAGTTCCTGGAAGATGTTTTGGCTCCACCCAAGTAAGTGTTAAAATGATAATTTGTCCCTTTAGATTAGATGAGGTATTCTCAAAGGGAATGTTCTTCACCATCAGTAAACTGAAGATTAGACATTGAAAATAGCTTGGAGTTCTCCCTTGTCGTACCTTTCCTCCCTCTAGCTGCCTCATCTGTATATTAAAAAAAATGTTTCCTTTTAAAAATGATTTTTAAATTGTCCTTTGTAGAGTCCTGTCATCCTTCCTGTAGTTTCCAGACTAAATGACTTCTCCTTTTGATGACTGGGGCAGGCCATTCTGATGATGTGTCCAAATAATGTAAATGAAGATGAGCCTGCTCTACAAAGCTTAGTCCTGACCCTGTAATAAACTGGGAATCTTTTAAGGGGATGTACGGTGTCCTTTGGAGGCTTGTATTTGCAGTCATTCTTCTAGAAGTAAGGTGTTATTTAAGTCTTCGAGAGCTGCTTGTTTTCTTGTTCTCACCAGGAGTATCAGTAAAATTTGTATTTAATGTTATTTTTTTTTTTTTAATTCCTTCCAGCTTTATATAAGCAGATGGTGAGCTGGTAATTGTATACATCCAGTGATCACTAAATGCAACTTGGAAATAATTTTTAAAAAATTAATTCCTTCGTGCTAAGCATAATGATGAGTCCTGAAGATTGATTACTTAGTATTAGGAAATCAGGGTGGAAAATACTGAACACTTTTTAAAATAATTAGATTATATAGCAAAAGCATGAGAAATGTGTTCAAATGTGTTTCAGACACTGTGCTCGAAACAAATGCCTGATTCAGAAAGCAGAACTATGCTTTGGTATTCCTCTGAAAAGTGATTAAAAAGTGTTGGGTTTAAAAAGCCTAACTTAAATGGAAGTGTGTGGTAATACACCTAAGAAGCAACGCCTCCACATTAATCTGAAAATGGGTAAATTGGTAAATATACATGATGTAGAATCTTTTTTTTTGTCTTCTTAAAAGGGCTAGTTACTATATGATGAGCATCATTCAGCTAAATGTGCTGTAGATCTACTCCTTTCTGCTTTTTAGGTACCTAAAACTTTCACCAAAGCATCCAGAGTCAAACACTGCTGGAATGGATATATTTGCCAAATTTTCTGCGTTTATCAAAAACTCTAGACCAGAAGCTAATGAAGGTAGGTTACCTGGGGGCCTAGAGCTGTGCACTTGTTTCATTGTCTCGTGTTTTTCAGAGCAGCTTTGCTGTGAAATGTCTCACTGACAAGTTTGCCTGCATGTTGATGGACACTTGAAGGAGTCTCAGGAATTAAACTTGTGGTTTAAAGTTAACAGTCAGAGACAAATGTTTCAACTCTTCCAAAGCGAACTTCAATTAGACAGTGTTCAATCAGAACTTTAGTAGGATGTGCATGTTGTATAAATATCCGTGGCATTGAAACTTCGCAACACAACAGCCACTCAAAACTCTTGGACTGAGGAGGAATGGTTTTAGCATCCAGAACCAAATTCCATGCAGGGTTTGTGTTGTGCCCCAGTGGTTGGATTCCCATGTGTTTGCTGCGAGGCCTTTCTGCACACTTGATATTCGACCTTTCTAGGACTGAGGGCTCCCATTCAGAGTTCTGAGTTAAGCTTAGATCATGTCCCTTTCTTTAAAGGATTAAATAAATCCATTTTTCTGTGTGGAGAGAACATAGTAGATGGAAGGTAAGAGATCAGGAAGAGATAAAGAATGCACAATTAGACCTTTAAATAGTTCAGTACAAGTCTTTTTTTTCCTCAGCGTACTTGAAGGGAAAACCAAAGTCAGAGAATCAGAATGCCTTTTTGCTCGATTTCCAATAGATGCAAAATATTTGTAAACGGCTGAGAAAATACGTTTGGATTTTGTGGGGTGTGCTGCCCTCTGCTGCTGTATTCCAGAAACCTCCTGGGCAGTGTGTGCGCTCAGTCTCTTAGCAGGGGATGTGAAAGAGATCACGTTTAAATGAATATAAACCCTCGCATGGCTTAATTCTAATTAGTTTAAGCCAGTTAGGAATAGTCTTAAACTCACATAAGCCACTTTTTAAACCAAAAATAAACACTTGTGGACAGTCTTAGAGTATTTTAAGTTAGTGCAAACTCATGTATAGACCAGCTTTTAAATAACCTGCATCTGTGTGATATTTAAAGAGGTTCTGCTTCAATCTCAATGTTACTAGTGACCACGAAGGCAGCTCAAGCAGTAGTGTTGCCACAAAAATTGCGTGAGGGTTAAAAATGCTCCGTTCTGGGTAGTACAGTGATACAGATTTTGTTTTTCAGATCTGCTACTAATACCAATACCCTGAAAGATAATTTGTTTTGAAATTTATGTGCTGCGGTTTGGCTTTCTTTTATGTTCTTAAAACTGTTCCTTCCTCTCTAGCCTTAGAACGTGGCCTCTTGAAAACCCTCCAGAAACTGGATGAGTATCTCAACTCTCCTCTTCCTGATGAGATAGATGAAAATAGCATGGAGGATATTGCAGTTTCTACCCGCAAGTTTTTGGATGGCAATGAGATGACGTTAGCAGACTGCAACCTGCTGCCCAAACTACACATTGTCAAGGTAAATGACTTGTATGATATTTGAAAATGAAGTTCAAAATGCTTACAATTTATGACATTCTGAAGCCCAACTCATATAAACCATGTATAAGCTCCCTATGGAAGCTTAACTACAGAATTACCAGTACATGAAATTGCATAAGATTTTGGTAATTCACAAGGGTGTTGGGGATAGAGCAGTGAATTGAGTGAAGGTGTGAACTAGTAGACAAGTTGGGTGGCAGATGGTAGAATAGCACAAGCCAAAACCCATTTCACAGCACTGACCCGTGTGATCACAGGAAGTTGCAATGCTTAGAAGAATTAGGTAGAAGAAGGAAAGTGAGCATCATGTGACCAGTTAATGTGCGAAGTGGATTTCTCTCACATCTGTAGAGAAAACTGCTCTATTAGCAACAAAGTAAATGTCACAATGTGAAACACAAGGATTGTATTAGAAAAAAAAAACCAACAAACAAACCAACAACAAACCAAAATAAAAAAAGTCTTAAGTCTAGAAAGAAGTAGCCCAGGATAACTACAGGAGTGAAGATGGTAGCTTGATTTCTTTTCACTGTCTCCAGCGATCTCTGTCGGTTCTGTACTGCAGATGGAGCCACAGATTAAGTTTCTGCCTGGGTGCAGAAGTGTTTGCTTTGGTGAGGACGCTGATACAGACGAAGTGGGGCAGTGTGCTGCCAGGCCCTGGCACATCCCAGAGGGACAGGTTCTGCTGGCTTTCGAAGTGCCTGCTGTGTTGGAAGGATAACTTAACGAGAGACTGACAAGGGATGGAAGAGTGGTTTAAGTTGAAGGATGTAAATTCATAATCTAATTCTTTTGTTCTAGGTCGTGGCCAAAAAGTACCGCAACTTTGAGATTCCCAAGGAAATGACAGGGGTTTGGAGATACCTGACGAATGCTTACAGCAGGGATGAATTCACCAATACCTGTCCTGGAGACAAAGAAATTGAAATCGCTTACAGCGACGTAGCCAAGAGACTCACTAAGTAAACAGCACTTGCAGAGAGATGACTTCTTGCATATTCCATAACAATGCTTCTAACAGACTGCTCTTTTCATATAAGATAGCAATTTTTTTTTGCATGAACTTGCAGTTATTCAAAGTTATGGTGGATAGACCAGGTACAGTAATTACCTAAAGTTTGCAGACTTAATTACAGGCTTGTTTTTTCTTACGTCCTTTCACAGCAAGTTTGAATATCATTAATGCAGTTATGTTAATATTGCACTGGGGTAACTCTAGATTCCTCAGTAGGAAGGGTTGTCTTGCCCCTGCTGCTTTCCTTTGCAAACGTTTGGTCCCTGTCTACGAATTGGGTTTTTTGGATACCGTCTTGCTCTATGGTACAAGGAATATGTATGTATTTTGGAATTTATTGCTTTTCCAGAAGATCTATACGCAATTGTCATATGTGACACATTGAACTGTACCTGCTTGTCTATCCTATTTACATATAGAAGGGAACTTATTATCCAGAAGAGCCATTTGCAGAATATTTGGCAAGGTTTTTTAAAAAAAAAAATTCTCTTGGATTTGAAATCATAGTAATGGTTGAGAACGGACTCAAATGTGAACCTTGGATTTGAATGACCTCAGACATCAGGGAAGTTTGAATCTAGGCTTGAGTGCTATAGCAGGAAGCTCGCAGTTCAGGGTCAGTATTTAGTTGTGTCTTCAAGAGCTTGATGAGATGAAAAAAGCTCAATTTTTTTTATTTTAAATTGGCAACCTACATTTGTCCCGAATTCTGAGTTGCAGCAAATGAATAATTGCCGGGATGCCCTTTACCATCATGAAACCAGAAGAACTGGATGCTTGCCATCTGTTCATGTTCAAAATTGCAAGTGGCTTTCTTTTTGGTAGTTAAGAGCCTTTGTTTTGTATAGTCTTTCTGGTGATATTTACTGACAAAATCTGTGCTGTCCTAAACAAAGTACATGTACACGTTAGTGTCTGAGTTGATAAATAGCTACTGATGTGGTGAATAGCAGTGCAATGATTAGTGATGCCAGACTGAACGCTGGTAGCTGTTAAAGCAGGAGTCTTTCTGGGAACTTTTTAAGCTGTTTCTTTCCTGAAGAAAGCTAAAGTGACCTTTAAAGAGAATATTTGCCTTAAATTATATATATGCATTTCTTCCTGAAAGGAAATCTGTTGATTGCTCTTGTAAAGAAACGATGCGTGAAATCCAGGCCTTTCCATTGAATTTGTCCTGATTGCTTGTCTGTGCACCTGGACTGCAATTTTGCATAATCATAATCATTGCACTACTATACATAATCTTTTTACAGCAACACTGAGGAATAGCACTACAATTTTTTTAGAAGCAATTTTCCGATATTTCTAAAGCAGGGAATAGTTTTCTTGTTTGAAATTAATGGTTTTGATGCATGAAGTAAACTGCTAGGTTATTTTTAAAAGACCATCATAAACAACTCCAAAGAATGCTAGACTTATATGCCTATTTTTTTGTAAAGATACTTTTATATTTAACTGATTTTAGAAGCTGGAAAGTGCTATTCCTGGTAGGTTGTTCTTGGAATATTTAACATTCTGCAATAACATGGAAATGCTCACATAAACACTTTTATACACTAATTTTTTTGGTAAGCACTGGCTTTATGAAAACCAGCCTGACTTTTCTAAGCATCCTGCTTTTGCTACTTTATATACCCGTGATGTTAGTTTGACATAGAAGAGGTGGAGTACAAGATCCATATTTGTATACACGGCTTGTGGTGCCTTGTCTTGCCTTCCTAGAGCTAGAATTCCAATATAAAGGCAGTTAGCAATCCTGTTATCTGTTTTTCGAAGACAACCATAGATACACTTAAACCCTACTATGATTTTTTTTACAGGAGTGTTCAGGCGCAGAAAGAAAACTCTGCAGAGCGACCTGATTAGGAAACACTTAACTGTAGCCTTTTAATAATTACTGTATTCTAATGTCACGTTCTCATCCTGAATAAAGTTTCTCAGCCATAATAATCCTCTGTAGGGGTTCACTCTTTGCTGCAACGTGACATCCAGAAAACGGAATTACTTCCTTTTCTGTTAGATAATGTTTTTAATGACACGTAGGGTAAAAAACCCAAGCAACCCTTATTGGTTTGGTGCTCTTTGTCATCGTACAGTTAACTTTTAAAAACAAAAATATAGGAAGCAATGTGATTATGGGCATAGCTTTGTTAAATTTTTAACTCTACTTTAAACCCTAGATCAGGATGGCCCTTGGAAGTTGTCTGAGGTTGCAGTCATCGGGCCTCACTCCTTTTAAAAGCAAATTAAATGTGTGTGGTGTGCACACTTTAGCACACCAGGCAGTTATGTGCAGGTGAGCATGAAGACGCTTTCATGCAGTTTTCCAGCGTGCTGCCTGCATATCAATGCACACAAATACTGAACTCGTTAAAACACCAGGCTCCTCGTTCTTTTGTAGATAATATATTCTCTCTACTTTTTAGGCAATCTTCAAACAATTGTAATGTGTTATATTCAGCATTAAGTATTTTAATGATTGTGTCTGAAAGCTTGTAAACAAAGTTAAAGCTCTTGCTGTAACTAATGTGTTTCTTATCTCGGTACAATGGAGTACTGAGCCTTTCCCTTCTAGGTGTAATTCAAATGAGGACCAGGTTAGCAGTTTCCAAGGCGGTTACGTGTGATAGCTGTTAACTGTCCTGCCTGAAAGGAGTTGGGATTTTCTAGGCTTCCTATTGCACAGTTCTGTTGTGTTGTGGCAGAAGCTGCCCAGCCTCTTGCTGGGAGTCTAATGGAGGGCGAGGAGCTTTCAGCTCTGTCGGTGATCCCTTCAGACAGCAGAGTGTAGCTGGGGTGGTGTGTAAAAGGCTCCGCGTCTGGTGTGGGTAGAGCACTTTCATCTGGCCCCAATCGCCAGCGCTACATTAATTAAAAAAGCCCTTTCATAACTATGTAAATTCTTGACTTCTGTCAACTTGTTTACAATCTGATCTTTAAATGCATTTTTAATTTCATCAAACAGCAGTTAATCTACCCCCTGTTTAAATTTAAAATGATGCTTCTAGCCCCTTCTACGATTTAAAAACAGCAGTTATCCTTTCAAGTAGGCATTCCACTTTGCAAGTTGGTTGCATGTATTAGCATGCTGAATAACCTACTTTATTCTCAAGCTGAAATATGCTTAAATTCCCATTAAAACAGGTGACTTATGTATTTCCTGAACATAAAGGGAAAATTCATCATCATCACCCTGTTGCTGTGTGGGAGAACATATTATAGTACATGCATGATTTTATTTTTTTGTCCTCTTAACAAAGCTTTCCTTCTTAAAGTGTAAGAGCTGCCTGTTGAACAAGAGGCATGTGAATTCTGAAACGATTTCACGCACTGCAAAGCTTTCTTGTCCATCTGCTGCTCGCTGCTGGGCTGTGTAAGCGTGCCGCACGGCAGTCACAGCCATGTAGCTTGTACGTTTGCATTTTCCCATAAAATTGCTTCTTTTTTTTCCCCCCTCCTCAATGGGCATGTCTAAACTAATGGAGAGTTGCGTGCAGTTCCATGATAAGAAGAGAGATGTAATCAAGTTTTTATGCTAAAGTAGCAAATTAGCATTTCGTATCAAAGGAACACAGACATGAATAAATTGAAGATGCTTGAGCCAAACCCACTGATGCCTATCTCAGTGTAGAACAAAAAGTGGCTAAGTACAGTCAACTTTTTTTTTTACTCTTTGCTACTCAGAGAACTACCTGAACACGTCCAATTAATATTTTCAGAAGAAGGCTTTATCCTGAGTGAAAAATATTTAATCTGCTTCAGAACCTGTGCCACCAGCTATTACGTTTTGTTTCTGGAAGGGGTGGGAGGATGGGAGAATAGTGGAGCAGAACAGGATATCGAGACTCCCAAGACAGGACATCAAGAATTGGAGCATTGTTTGCAGAAATACTTGAAGAGTTGATACAATTTATTGTAGTTTGCTTATGTCTTTCACTCTCTGGAACATCTTTTACAGATATACCAGTATACTGCTGGCAGCTATTGTTAAAAATAAAATTATATTTTCACTACCAAGCAGATCTTTCTCTTATTTCTGGAAACTACAGTTCTTGCATCTTTAGGCTACGACTTGAATGTGGTGTGCTAAACTTCAGAACAAGACTGTGGGGTAATTATACTCTCAATTTTTGGCCTTCTGTTTTTTTCAGCGGTATTGTGATTTAAGGCAGAATGCGTGTTGTTTCTAACATTATAACTAGCTGTTGTGCCCCTTAACACAAAGGTGAGAACTTTCTTAAAATTAAGAATGGGTTGAGAAATAATGACTTCTACAGAAATTATGAGAAGTGGGGTGTTTTTTTTTTTTTTTCAGATTTTAAGTGGAAACTCTTAAGAACATAAATTTTGGTAGCTTGTTTTTCTGTGGAATACTAGGTTTTCAGAGTTAAACTGTGAAAATTGATTAAAAAGACATGAAAAAAATTCTCATGTTTGGTTCAACTTGTTTCCACCCAGATAATCCACTAAATAGCCATTTCAAGAGTTGAGACTGAATTGATCCCATCAACAGAATTCATGGGTTTCGGAGTCTGTGCTTTTATTCTGAGTTTCAGTTGTGTTTCCTTAACTGCCTTTTGCTTTCAAATCTGTCTCAGCAAACCATGGTAAACCCCGTACACCGTTGCTTTGAGTGTGTTAACTGGGTACTAGGTCTTCAGAGCAAAGACCACCAGCTACTAGGGGAAGTTTTCTTCAAAACTTCCGAAGTGTTATCATGTCAATCTCTTGTCTGCCTCATGAGTGTTTGAGGTGCATCTGGGGTCTGATTTTTGGTTTCGAAAGGAAATTTGTGGAATCCAGAAGACATTCCTGGAGCCTGTAATCTGGAATGCCATCATCTGAGTTTGAGCACGTGCCGGAAAGTAACAGCCGTGCTTGTAGTAGTAGCAAATTCAGCAATTAAACCCTTGGTAGGATTATGTACCTGTAACACGATACTGTTTTACTGACTGTGAGGTTTGGGATCAGAGGTGGGTTTGCAATATGATTTGCAGTCACCTTGTTTGGGTTTGGTCACGTACTTCCATGAAGGGCAACAGGGTGGACCCAAAGGTAGTGTAGCACCTTGGTGTGAAGGGCGCACGGAAAGGGAATGGTGTTGAGCCGTGAC